AAGGATCTTTCAGTTTTGCTTTTAACATGGTGTAGCTGTTTCTAACGCTCTTACTCTCCACCCAGAGAAAGACAACAATGAAGAAGATGCAAAGCTTGTACAGGTAACTACATTGTCCATATTGACCTATTGAGTCCTTTCCTTCTAGATATAATCTGCATGTTCCAGCTACACAGCAGTTTGCTGCCTTTCTGAAACGATGCTATTAGACAGAACCCTGCTGCCCAAACTTTTCTAAAGTAGGATAAACCTGTACAAACTGGAAATGTCAAGTAAATAAGAGGCAGGGACAATGCAGTCTGTTTCTGTTGAGCTACAATCCTCAGGAAAACATCTGTTGTGCTCGCTCCAAAATCACATGCAGATAGTTTTGCAGGCAAAGTACACAAACAATATCAGTCCTAAGGTATTACTTAAGAAACAGATCAAAATGTGAAATGTGTTTGCTTTATTTTTTCGCTAGGACTATTTAAATAAATTCTACGCTATTGAGCCAGATCCAAATCAACTTGGATGGAAAATAAATGCTGAATCCACATCTGAAAAACTTAAGAAAATGCAAACATTTTTTGGTTTGAAAGTGACTGGAAAACCAAACTCTGAGACATTGGAAATTATGAAGAAACCCAGGTGTGGAGTTCCAGATGTGGGTCTCTATGGTGTTACTCTGCCAGGATGGAAAAAAACCAACCTGACATACAGGTAGTATTTCGATAATTGCTTTTTCAGTTTAAATTTTGGTTTTGTGGATATCCATGTTTGTTATATTTAAATATAACTTCTATAACAATTGTTTCCAGTTGGGAATACAAAAAAGTTTCCCTTTCCCCAGCTGCTAGCTATGCAGATTCCTGAGAGGAATTTCTGAGAATCAGTCTGGGTGTTTTACATTTTATGAGTCAACAACAGTATTTTGCCTGTTGTGTATCACTCCTGACAAGTATTCTGAGCCAAACAGAAGCATCAATTACATGTGTACAAGCCCCCTTATCTTCAAAATTTGCTAAGACTGACAGTTTAGTAGTCACAGAAACCTGAGGAGATGCTTTGCCACATGCTCAAGAGACCACCTCCTGGCCAAAGGCCATTTTGAGAAAAACGGATACCACATATACAATTATTATTATGAAAAGGACATGTTGGAAAGTTATCACATCCCTCAAACTCACTAAGTCCAAGATGAATCTTGGGAGCTATTGAATTACAAGTTAAACTTCTTATACATCTCTGTTCATCATCTTAACATCAGACAAATTCTTGCTGCAAACACTAAGTATTGTTACTTGAACCCTTGTATCTGTAGAATTGTGAACCACACACCAGATATGAGCAAAGAGGACGTGGATAAAGCAATCCAGAAGGCATTTGAAGTGTGGAGCACTGTCACCCCACTGATTTTCACTCGTATTTATGAGGGAATAGCAGATATAATGATTGCATTTGGGACCAAAGGTAATACGCTGACTGCATACTGATGGCAAGATTAATTTAAAGATTTTCCAATAGTCATTACATAAATTCAGCATTGTTTCAACATCATATTATTTAGCTCATGGACATTGCCCTCGTTATTTTGATGGCCCCCTTGGTGTCCTCGCTCATGCCTTTCCACCTGGCAGAGGTTTTGGTGGCGATGTGCACTTCGATGAAGATGAAGATTGGACCACAGGCTCAGTCAGTAGGTAAAAAAGAGTTTCTGAAGTTTTATGCAGATGGGCAAATTCCTTTCTGATTTTATTTAGGTGGAGGAATGCACTGAGATGAAGCATGGCATTAAAAATTAGACCAGTTTGAGGATATTACAGTCCATCCTCCAGCTGGGATACTTACAATAACGCTGATGTAAAACCAGCCTGACCTACTCTAGATCATATCTAGCTCTAGTAAATGTACCAACAGGACACACCTTTTCAGATACCAATGCTACAGACATGGACTGCTCTTACTTGGGGGTCGGTAGGGCCTGTCCCCGCCACAGCTACACAACCCCAGTAAAAGCTTTCTGGCTCCTTTTCCCCTCAGCAGCCCAGGCTGGCACAAGCCTGGCACTACCACACACTCAGAGAAGCACACCAGGCCTTGCAGCAGCCCTCAGAGGAGATCCCCACAACCTAAAATATCATTACAGCCACCAGGATGATGAAGTGTCCTCACTAATACTACCAAGATAGGTCCAGCTATAGAATGTTATAGCTTTACTCTGTGAACAAGGATGGGCTTATACATGAAAGTGTTCCCCAAGGAATTTCAGCCATCTGCCAGCAGCCAGCAATCTGAACACGCTGTCCAGGCCAAGCATGGGCTGAGATGCAGCGTGAAGAACCAACTACAGATGTGTGCCACTGGGCCAGAAGAGAGGGGAACGCTGAGTGCTCAACCATGTGGCTGGGATCTGTCTGCTCCCCTCAGCCCCCAGGCTGGCCATTCAGCACATACTGCCTCTGACAGATCTGACAGTACACGGGCACACTACCCTGTCATACTTTTGACCCTTTTCTCATCCAGTTTTTGGGATGGAAAGTAGGAGAAAAATTCTATCAGGAGAACTGAGGTCACACTGAAGGAAAAGCAAGGAGCTAGCAAACAGGAAGGTGCTGGGAGAGCACTGCATGAGGAGGAGGGATGTGGGTTTATTGTGGTGGGGAAAAAAAGAAGGAAGAGGGGTTGACGTGTCATGCTGATAAAACATAATTCTTCCCCTACACTGGGACTGAATGGGTCAATCCCAGTTCTGCTGCTGTTCCTCAACAGCACACCTCCATCAGCCAGGCATTGCAGAACTTGTTGGAGAGCTCGGAAGACTCGTGAGAGGTGAGGATGAGACATATGTGCGGAAAAATTGAGGCTTTGTTTGTTTTTTA